ACTATCATGATTATTGCCTCTCAACAATCTTGGCTCCCAGAACTGAAGTAATTGTCACGGCTTCAGGAAAATGTCAAGAAATCAGGGGAGGCCGTCTGTTTTGGAAAAACAAACAGTTGCTTTGATTGATTGCACGATAAGATCAAGCCAAAAGGGAGACGACACCCGTCACTGCCTCATTCATTGTCTTATTCTGGTACAGTAAAGCAAGAAATGTCAAATCAAACTGTAACATTCATTTGCAACATTTTGCACTTTTCAGATTGTAAGTGAGTGCGCAGGTTTGTAGGCAGACATGTACTGTGTACATGCACACATGGCTTTGAATGCATGCTTGAACAGCAATGAAACAGACAAATCCATCAGCTGTCCACCGGGTTTTGGTGTGCGTACCACCAGGAGCACCCATTAACAGGAAATAAATGCCTGACGCCATAAAACTGACAGTGCCTCATTCATACTGACACTCTGGCTAAATTACAAATAAAAGCACTGATAACATCATCATTAAATATTGATTTTAAGGGTGGTTGAAGAAAAAACACATGCACACATATTCTCCAGATGAGGGGATTTTGATGAGCGTCTAAGCAGATGGAGCAGAAGAAGAAGAAGGAGGCGGCTATAGTGGCTTCTCGTGGGAGAAAGACGGACAGAAAAGAAGCAGGAAGAATAAAAAGGAGAGAGTGAAAATGAGGCGGTGAGGGAGGTAAGGGCTTGGGAGGGGTGGAAAGAGATTTAAGGCTGAGGCTCAGAGCAGATGTTAACGTTGATGATGATGGATGCAGGTTGTTGAGATGCAGAGTTGTTATCATGAGAGGCACTCGCAGCCTCCTCGCAGCACACTTTCCTCCCCAGATGTCACTGCGAGTGTGCGTATGTGTGTGTCTGTGTGTGACACGGGGGTGGAGAGGGAAATGCTGAAATGAGCAAGTCACAAGCCTAAATGTGGCTCTAACACTAAATCTATTGGTTTTCCATGATGAGCTTGGATTGAAAAACTCTTCTTCATGCAAAAAAAACCTATACAAGTGATCACATCAATGAACAGACGCAACAAGACACAACGAAGGCACTGATTGGTCACACAGAGGAGGCCGATGAGCCGCTATCTTTCTACACTGGTAGCCGCAGACACAGTGAAAAGCAGCTTCCCTCTGAAGGTCTAAATTGGATTCATTTGAAGATGTTTCACCATTTAAATACATTTTATTGCATTAAACCACATCACTAAGCTACCACATGCATCACTGCAATGATCCAAATTGTTTGAAAAAAACACACACAGAAAGCAGCTGGTGTGTGTGTGTGTGTGTGAATGGGACATGCTGAGTGGTAACCTGCTCTCCACTCTAACCAGATAAAAGGTGCAGGGCAGAAACACGTCGGTAATTGATTGCTAATTAGTTCTTTTGTTGTCGTCCATTGTGTCCTCACAGAGCTTTGCCCTGCTGTCTATTCAGCGGTAGACTCCGTGGCCTCGTGGCGAAGATGTAAGCATAGCCGTGTCCATAATGAGACAGAGTGATGTAACAACAAGCAATAAGAGCTGCTTTACAGCTCTGAATCCCCACTACACAACCACTGGATGCAACTACAGAGGACATCACGGTGTAAGCAGAGGATTTATGTTTCTGTTTTTTCCATTTTCTTCACGGGCATCCTCAGGAAGAGAAACGGCGTGCCTGAGAGAGTCATCCCATGATTAATCATGATGTGGTTTAACTCGTCCAGCTGCATTCTGCTTTACAGTATGTGGCACAGAACACTCTGTGCCGTTTCCATACCCGCTATATGCTGTATCCACATCATCTCTATCTCCCCCTCTCTCATCAGTGCATGAGAAATTACCTAATGAGGAATGGGTCGCACATTTCCACAAACTCATTAACCCGCGAGCGAGTGAGACTAATTGCAGCGTTTGGGTAATGTGATTTCACATCTGTTACTGCGGCCCAGGACACAGTGGTAGTCCGCTCGGGGCTGCTGGATGCGGTGGGCTGAGGCACACGTAGGAGCTGGATCTACTGGAATAACACACACGCCTCGCAAGCGCCACTCCAGCCTGGATGGGTGGAGCAGAAGTCACTTCAGCTGAGGTTAAAAAGGTTGATCGACTGCTGTCTCACAATGTTGCCTCTGCAAGGAAGGTGGGCCACCTGCATTTATTCTGATCATATATAGGTGTAAATATATATACATACATACATACAGTACATACATATATACATATATATATATATATGTATGTATACAAACCAAACAGAAAAAGCAATATCCGTGAGCATAAACATTAGATGACTTGGTGTTTTTTATTCTATACATTCACTGTGATGTCTTTTAATTCAACGTCGAAAAAGGTTATTCCTTCTCAATAAAGGCTTTATGCCTTTCTTTAGGCTTTCTTCCAGTCAGTAGGTTAACAAAATCGTAATTGTTTATTATTAGTCTGTAAATGTAATCACAGTGTGATCGTTGTAGCTGCAGCACACTGGCAAATATTATGAATTGGGATTTGAAATTAAATTCAAACTGTATAAAGTGTTTTTTTTATTTTTTTATGTTTTATGTATTCAAGCTAATTGCATATAACAGCAATATAGGGTGTGACACACACACACACACACAAAAGCACAGAGAGTAATAACTCGTTTTTTCAGGGTTTTGACTTGAGTTGGTGTTTTTAATAATTCAGTGAATTACTGCAAACAAATTTATGTAAATAGAAAAGGTGGGAACCAACTGTTTAATATGGGGAAAGTAATATACGTTTGTTAATTATGATTAATCTTTTGTTTAACCCCCCTGCATTGTTACAGAAACTCCAATTATAAGTTTAGCGGCAGTGGGACTGCTTATGGTAATGCCATATCTCATCAATTACCATCCTGTGACCGCAAATTGGCCTCAGCGCTGACAACGAGACGAGGTTAACACGCTGATTAATTTGGGCGGCTGTGATTTCAGGCTCAAGTTGACACTTATAATCTTTGACACAAACAGTGAGGTTTGCTCCCTTTCATAATGGTAAAATTGTATTTACCTTTCTTGGAGTTCAGTTTACAGACATTGCATCTCACATCAGGATCATTTTAAAATGAAGGTCAAGCCAACAAGATAGAGTTTCTCTTATTACACAACTGATGGGCAAGTAATGAGGAACTTTGAATAAATGTGAAATAATGTATGGAAGCTAACCTCTTGGTTACTAATGTCCCCCTTCTGGACACTGAATCGCGTCAACCCGATAATTACACTACACACCTTGAAAACCCCCCAGATATAATGACAATAATCCCAATGGTGCAGATCCCTGGAAAGGTACAAGGATATCCAAGCACAACGCAAGCAAGATATCTTATGTAAACTCCTTCAGATAATTTACACACTGTCATGCAAAAGTTGAACAGCATCGGTCGAAGCTAAAAGCTAAAATGGAAGACGAGGCAGAAAATCGATAAACCAAACACTAAGCACCTGAATCATCTCACAAAAAACCCTTCTTACCTTGGGGGCTTCAATGAAAATAGGTATTTAATTCTGTGTTTTTTAGCACACATCTTGTACGTCTCTCAAAACATTCCTCCGGTTTCCAGACCTGGTTTTTGGTTTCCAGGAGGGAACTTTGGGCTTCTGAGTGGCGAAGGGAGCTGGCTCTCTTAACGGCGTCATGCTACTCGGATCCAATAGGACCAGACAATTCGTAAGAGGGGTTGAACTCGGACCACCACAGCCTGAGATCTCTGAGGTTATTTTGGGTGTTCTGTTGTATTATTTAACATAGAAACTGATGTTCCCCTTTATCTTGGTAGATAAAAACATTGTCCAGATAGAAGTTACAGGTGTTACACTTTTTATCATGGGAATGCCCTTTTAGGAGCAGAGGCCAAAAAAACAACTTGTCACCAACAGGTACCACTTAATGCCGATTATCCGTATATTTAACAGATCACAACACACTTTACAAGCTAGGTGGAAAAATACATCTGAAAAAATGGAAATGTGTGTTGACAACTTCAGTACGACAGGGTGTCGGTTTACACTCACATATTTCTGAGGAATGTTCAGACTGTCACTCTTTTCCTATTATGGGTGCTTCAGTTTAGTTCCCAACACAATCACTGTGAGGTCTACTGAGCCGGCAAATGCAGTTGTGTGGAACTGCCAAAGGTTTTCTGCATTTTGTTTCGCTTGTTTCCTATAACATAGTCCTAGAAACACCCTAATAAACGTGTTTCATTGTTTAATCATCTAATTGATGTTTTCCTTCATGGATTTGTGCTCATCATTTAGGGGTCTGGTTGACAGATACGAGACGGCGCCTCACATTCACAGTTTGAAGGCGTTAATAATCCAGTGAACTAGGTATTGACACACAGTGGGGTTTGTAGTTTGTGCTTTGTAGGTGTAGCTTTATTTACAGATTTACCTGACGTGTACTGTTCAAGTTTCTAAAAATGATCTGTGATTTGAAGTTAGTCTTGTGTGGGTGGGTTTAGTAACGACAGTGTTTCTGTAGGCCCAATTAAACATTAAATCAGATCAAAAGTGTGGCACACAGTCTAAATAGCCATATATATATATATATATATATATATATATACATATATACATACATATATACATATACATTATACACACACAGAGGTGTGATTCCTCCTGTTCAGTGGGATGACCGTCAAGGTTAAAAGCAGTGACCGTCACATCCCAGCGCTGACATCTTTACCGCTCCTGTCTGCCACACTGGGACCAGTCACCCTTCATAAACCCTTTGATCCAGTGAGCTCAGACACTGAGACAATGAGCAGAAACCACCGATAGAACTTTGCGCAACAACATTCTAACCCCCCCAAAAATGTAAAAAAATCCCATCATAAATTAACTACAACAACCATCGAGAATTGACTGCAAGGGTGAGGGTCACGCATAGACTTCAAGTAGAACATAATGGACATCTTCTCTTTAAATGTAATGGAGACATGAATCATTCTTGTTTGACATTCTTGAAAATTACTTTTATTTGTTTGTTCAGTTTTAAATTGGTACAAACCCGTCAATGTGGAGCATTTGATCAAACATTTAGGAAATGTGTCAAGTAATAGCACATACAATAAGTTAAAACATGTCACAAAAAGACCAGCGGGTACATAGCAAGAATGTTTTATGTACACAAAACATCCTAAAACAGCGTAGGCCTATCGAAAGATCACTGTTTGTTTTTTTTCCTCTTAAGATTTATGCTCCCTTCTCATGCAGACGAGACTGCAGGTCGCCTCACAAAAGTACCTCTTCAATCCGAGTGGCCGTCGTTTTCTCCTTAAATGATCCAAGCGTTTGAATCCACATGCACAGTGCATGCCCGAGACCCAGTTCAATAGGCCCACCTACGGTGTGGTGCGTGTGTGGTAGGCTGTTACCAAAATGTATACCCAATCTTATAAATAACCGTTTGACATAACACAACTTCACCTGAACACAATAACGCGTGTGCGTAAAGACACACTCAATGAAAACGCAAATACAACAATTGTTTTGGCGCTCAGTAATTAGGGCCTTTAGTCTAAAGAGCATTACAATAGTATGTATCATCAATAGTTGATAAAATCCTTTTGAATTAAGATAAATAACCCCAAACCAAGATATTTTTTTTTCTTCCATTTGTCCATCAGTGTTGTCCTTTTTCCTGTCATTACGCCTAGATGAAGTACAGTCTCCATTTTCTCACATTTCAGGCCTGATTAGCTCTCTCTCTCGTTTTGATCTAATAGCAGGAATAAAAACAGAAAAGGGAGCCGCAGGGTGGGGCTGGGGAGGGGGGGGGGGAGGGGGGGTGGGAGAAGAGGACTGCGGCGGGGGTATTTTCTTTTGAAAAGTCACTAAGTGAAACTCATGGACACTGTGTGCTCCAGCGCTTTGCGCCGCAACGATGCGATGCTTGTCCCTCTCCACATGTCACTGTCCGGGGAACTACACAGCTGCGGCGAGCCCGATACGTTCGTGGGGCCGGAGAGAGAGGCCGACATACCGGGGAAATGCGATTGGTAGAGGTGGGACTGCAGACCGGAGCCGTTGGAGGAAAGGCCGTTGGAGAGCCCCATGGAGTTAGGTGGCGGCCCCGGGCCCAGGCTGCACTGTGACAGGGACTGCATGCCCGGCTGGCGACTCAGGGCCGGCGGGAGCTGCAGCTGGGAGACCCCCGGCATCCCCGTGGCCCAGCGAGAGTCGTTGGCGTGGAAGGAGCAGAGGCTGTTCTCCATGGCGGCCGCGGCGGAGAACTGCTGCAGGCCCGCCGTCGGGAGGAGCGTCCCCGGGGAGCGGAAGACGTTGGTGGTCTTCTTCCTTTTCTTCCATTTTGCGCGTCTGTTCTGGAACCAAACCTGCGAGCAGAGAGAGACGACAGTGAGCCGCCAGGCGGACAGACCGGGACTATGTGCAGTCAAGGCGGATGCTGCAATCAGGAATCAGGAACATTTATTACAATTAATGAATCAGGAATCAGGAACACGTATTACCAAAATATGTCAGACACACAAGGAATTTGACTTGGTGGTCGGTGCGTAACGCATGGTCCTTTACAAAATACCCTTTCCTTTATTCTCACTTGTAACAAATATATTTATAGGACTTCTAGGTTTACACGTGGTTTGATATCGCATCCTTCATACCACCCCGCTATATATGTCACGCAAATTATCTCTGGTCTGAATCTGATCCTGTATATCGGCTGTGTTGAAATAAACCAGACCTAAATGTAATCTGCAATTTCCTAAAGACCTATTATAGGAATACATGCTCTGCAACTAGCCTAAGAGGAAGGACTTTCATAGTAGTTTCATAGGGAGATTCATGTCAGATGTGTTTCGTAAATCGCATTAACACAAAAATGACTGGCAGCAATGGCTGCCAAACAACACCCGCAAACATCAAACTAAAGTATCTTAACTCAAAGTGCGAAAAAACGTAAATTTAAGAAAATGTTCATTCAAGGTTTTGCAGGGTTATTTTAGGTATTCTTCGTATTGTTACCAAAAATCAATGCAAAAAGTTGCACTGCACTGTTGTAACTTTCAAGCATTTACATTACCATTTGCTGATGCTTTTAATCAATGAGACTAGTTTGAGGTTAACCCTGCGGTAGCAGAGGACGCGCTCACTGAAGCACGGTCATGTGCCTGGACTATTGCAATGCATTTTTTCCTAACTTTGCCTTTACTCAAAACTCCTTTTTCAGTGTGACATCACTGGTTAAGCGTGGCCAGAGTCTCACCATGCTTGAAAGCATATAGTGAGCTATTGGATTACAGATAATGATTGTTATTTTACATGAAATTGTATGCAATTTAAGAAAGCAGTAAAATACTGCATAAAAATACAGTATTTGTGATGTACAAAATTGAGAAGAAGATGTAATTTTGTCATTAGCATAATACGTGAATGATCAGTTCGGTTGTTAATTTATAGATAATGTCTGTACTCTTTTACAGTTTTAGTTTTGTATATAATTAAAAAAATGAGAAAACCTACTATAAAAATGTTATTTTCTGAAAAATTAGGATTGTTTTAAAGCTTGTGTGTGTGTGTGTGTGTGTGTGTGTGTGTGTGTGTGTGTGTGTGTGTGTGTGTGTGTGTGTGCGCGCGCGTGCTGTGTGATTTTGGGGGTTTATTATATATATACAATTATTTTAAAGGATTATAGTATATAATGTTGTCGGGATATGCATAATCCTTTTAAAGGAGGGTCTTGTAGATGTCACATAATTTGGCTGCTGTAAACGGACACACACCAGGGATGTGAGTATCATTGTAGCCTCCGGAAGGCGCTTACACGGTTATTTTATTATTGTTGTTCAGCAGCAGAGATCTGAGGTATCTTTCTCTAACATCGTATTTACAGGTACAATCTGTAAATCGCGCTTAATATTGTGTTGACTTTAGAAAAACGTCCCGCGTTATTAAAGCAATCCACGTGAAAATAAAAACCACTCAACCACACTGACGCGCGGGGGCCAGAAATCACAACGATCCACTTACACAGCTTTTTTTTTTTTCAATAAAAAAATAAAAAGAGAAACTCACGCGTGTCCCCGTTCGACTTTATAGAGATTTCACAATCTTCGGTCGTGATTAATGCGCGCGCGGGGCCGTGAGTCGATGCCTCCATATTAAAAGTGAAATCTCGCTCTCATTCCATTCAGCCATCCGTGAAACGTCGCCCAAACCCATTACACTCGGAGGGTGGAAAGAAAATGCAATTTCTCATTCCATTAAAAAAGTACAATATATTCTTGAGTCCTATTAAGACGTCGCTGATGGAGCGTTTTGGAGGCGGGGAGGCTGTGGAGGCGCGCGCGCTGACCAAAAACGCCCACTGACGGCTGCACCTGAGCGGCCTGCACGAATGTTTAGCAACAGCGAGGTATACAATAAAGAGTTGATTATTAAGGTGACTAATGGTTAAATTGGTTGTATGGCAGTCAGTGGGATCATTTGCATGAATCTCACATCACTGCTTAATAACCCGTTCACTGTAATAAATAAGACTGGAATTGGTTGATAATGTGTTTGGTTTATTAGAGCCATGTACGTTCCCGCCTGCTTTTTAGAGGCACTATATTTGTTTTGCGGGTTTATATATATATATATATATATTCTAAGTGGTTCGTTATATTTCCAAAATAAATACAAACCAAATGACCAACGTTTCAATGTTAAAAGAAAATATACCAATTTCATCCCCATAAGTCAGGTAAAAGAATAAATGAACGTGCCACACATTCTAACCATAATTATTTTCAAACAAAAGGGGAAGCCATTTTTTGTGAAGAAAATTATTGGAGATGTATACTATATTAGAAAGTATTTTGGCCATGGTAAATCCCGTCTTAATAAACAACAATAATAATTTCCTAAGTCCACATATCACATACTTGTATGCGATATAACAAACCAAAGAAAACGGAATTTAGATGATTTCAATATCTCTGGTGACAGTGAATAAAAGCGTCGTCATTCAACAATCTTCTCACAAGTTTAAGAGCCATCTGGATCTTTTTGACTTCATGGGCACTGAATTTCCGCTCGTTATCCGCAAGTGATAGATATCTCTTGGACACGGTCACGCTTGGGGCACAAATCATCTCTTATTACCAAATTATCAAATCAAAATGAGCTTGAACTTTCCTCAGAAAATAACAAATAGTATGAGGATGTGCTGACCCTTCAAAGAATACTTTCATTTCATGTATATCCTAAGGAAGGATATGCTAAACCTAAATTAGAAATACTTTCTAAATGGTTATGTAACTGTGATGGTGCATAATAACACATTATATTTGCGTGTTGTAACTTTGAATTATTTGATATTCCAAGGATTTCCACAATAACGTTACACTTGACCAAAACGGCAGGAGACAAATAACTGAATTACACATTTTGGCACATGTGTGTCATCGATCTGCAAACGCACGGAGTCCTTAATCCTCCTCTCAAATCTTTTTTTGCACACTTCTTTCCAGAATGGATTGAAACGGACGCCTTTGTACATTTCTATAGCGCTGGAAGAACAAGATCGAAATCCCGACCCACTGCCACACCCTGCAAGTGTAAAATCCACGTTGGGCAAGTGATTTACCTGAACTCTGGACTCGGTGAGGCCGATCCTCAGCGCCAGCTCCTCCCTCATGAAGATGTCAGGGTAGTGGGTTTTGGCGAAGCTGCGCTCCAGCTCGTTGAGCTGCGCCGGCGTGAAGCGCGTCCTGTGCCGCTTCTGTTTCTGCTGGCTGGCCGACTGACTGGAGCTCTGCTGCGGCTGCTGCTGCTGCTGCTGCTGCTTCTCCTGCTCCTTCCCGTTCACCGTCATGCCGCCGGAGTTGGATCCAACGGTGGTGATGTCATCTCCCGGCAGCAGGGTGGTTCCTTCCACGGAGTCGGAACCGGGGACCATGTCTCCCGGGTGGCCCTGGTCTGGCACCCCACCACCCAGCCTGCACTTGAGAGCCTCCCGGTGTCCCAGTAACTCCGCAGCATCTTTCATCCCTGGAGGATGAGGAGGACAGAGGCTTAGATGGCAGATGTGACACCGCTGTATATCTTTAAATGAGAGTCGCATGATACAAAGGCAACAGACATAAATCCAAAGAAGATAACAAATAAACTCAATGTAGCTTGGGTCGTAATTTTGAAAAGTAATTTTTGTATATACATTTTTCAGTGTAAAGAATGGCATAGAGCAACGACGCACAATTTATCGGTTAACACAATTATATACACAGTCTATCTATCACATCACAAGGTTGAAGAAGAAGTTGGAATCTTACACTGGAGTTTAGGGCCGGAGTTTAGCGAGGATAACTCACCGAGCCGAGCATCCAGGAGGTCGGCGTGAGAGAGCATCGCGTACCGCTCCAGGGTGAAATGCGCTCCAAAAAAATCCCACAACTTTGGGGCAATTTAAAAAGTATATATCGTCTAAATGAACGAAAATTCGGTTTGTGGTTAAAAAAAGGTGGTCCCTTGCATTATAATGTCCTTTAGAGCAACGGGGAGGCGCTTATTAGTTGAAAGAACCCGTGAGCTTCTTCAAATAAGAGCCAATCAGAGAGGGAGCTTGCAAATGTCAGCGACGTGACTCCCCCTCCTCTTCACTGCTTTCCTTTTTTTATACACACATACGCAAGAAGGAACGCGCATGCACAGCCCCGAACGCGCACGAGAAAAAAAAATACAATTCAATTCAATCCTCTGCCATTCCCTTGCTCTGATTTATTAGCTTTTCATGCTGAAATTATTCCAGGTTTGACATCTTAATGTGTTTATTTAATCTCATATAGTTTGTGTAACGACGGGGCTCTTGTTTGTGGACATACATGGAAATACTGGAAGGTGAAATCGTGATTTTGCTCCATCAGACCAGAGTTTTCGGTTGTTGAACCCAACAAATAAAATAAAAAGCATCGTCATTGGTTGAATTTGTCAAATAGCTGCTGTGTTAATTAGCCGGTTCACTCAGAAAGGGAAGATCCATTTCCTGTATACTTTATCATATATCTATAAATCACAACACATCTCGAACAAGCAACTCTTGATACAATCCTACGAAATACAGTTTTATAATTTCAGGCCCGTCAGATTGAGGGGATTCTGTTAGTGATCGGTATGGAAGAAGCATGTCGCCATGCAGACGCCTGGTAACGCAAGGCCCGTCTCCAGAACCCCGCTTCCCTCCCGTCCTTGGATCACAAACAAAACGAACATCCCTCCCATTCCCCCATGGCAGGTGATTTGTGGAGACAAATCGAGGAAATAAATAAATAAACGAGCACAGATGGATTTAAGCTCCGATAGTGATCGGCCGCTTTAACTCCCATCGACTTTTCATCAACGCGGGCGCAATTAGAGGTATTTAGGCCTGTTTGGTTCTAACAAAAAAAAGAATCAGACGTGTTGGACCCTAAACGATTGTGCCCCTCTAACAGTGGTCCATGAGTAGGCCTATTATACAATTAACAGGACAGCCATTGATCTGCGCTCGTCTCCTCCAGACAGTGCTGGTGCACGGGGGGCTCTTGGCAGATGTCAGGGGGAGCCTTGTGAATAGACCACCGCATGGGACTAAATAGGTTTCTTTGCAGCCGCACAAAGGAGGCGTCCAGGCGAGTAGTCCTCCATCTCTCCCTGCGCACCAGCTCATCTCTTATGCTCCTCGTGCCGCAACGTGCAGCGGGGACGCAAGGAAGTATATGGCCTATGTGGCACAGCGTGAAAACTTAAGGAAATGGGACTTGTGCATGGTCCACTGAGTGGGGAGAGCTGGGACCATCTCCCGAAGGTTCAGCAGAAGCAATCAGCAGCAGCAGAGGTTCGATTCGTTTGCTTCAGGCGTGTAGACCAGAGAGAGGAGAGGGACTGCGCGTGTGGGGAGTTGTAAGGTCAACCCTGCGTTGGGGAAGGGCTTGGGAGACACGGTCTGTATGCTTTGGAAGTTGTTTGATTTGCAATTTAATGGAAGACAACTGGTATATTCAAATACATGAATACAAAAATAAGACTTTTAAAGGTCCGATTATCTTTAATTAAATTTCTAAAATTCTAGCAGGTGTGAAAATAATGTGATGTTATATTGTACATAATAAATGTGAATGTAATATTACATTTTATTCATTTTATTCCAATTTAGGATTATTTGACGCCATTATTCAATTTATTATCTGGGTCTGATTTTTAACATCATTATCGTCCTCATTAATTAGTTTGTATGTAAAAATTGTTTCCATTTTATGTTGTATTTCTATAAAAAAGAATGAGGTAATAACCATGCTAGTTCATCAACAATAAGACATATTGGATTTGTATTGTTTCTCTAAGCAATTATTTAAAATAATTTATATTGACGTCCTGTTTATGAGGCCAATACAAAACATATTTAGTTTGCAGTAATTGTTGACTGCTCATCTGATTCCTATGATAATAAATATGGATATTGTGGTTTGTTGCAGTGAAAACAGCCCGGATAGCAGACATCCCCTCAGCTGTCCGACCCTCAGACTGTAACTTATTGCTGTAATAAGAGGAACCCACTTGAAATGGGTCTATGTCTCACTCAGGCTCCCTAACTGGACCGCATCAATCTTCCCCCAGTAAAAACACACTCACACACAATCCTCCCGGGTTAATGCGGCGCATCTGAGTGCGGAACGGCTGTTTACACGCGAGGAGACACTTTTAATGGAAGCGCACAAAAAACAAATGCAATTTTGTAAAGCAATTTCAAAGATCAAGAATTCCGTGTCCAGCCTCTGCGCGGCTTTTTTGTTGTTGTTTTTTTTCAAGCAATCAAACTGCGTTAAATCCATTGCCCATGTGGCAGTTTGCAGAACAGGTTAACAATAATGTCGCTATAGCAGGAGGCAGGCGCGGGGATACGATCCCCTACACCAAAACCAACAGCGTGAATCTGTGCGCTGTTTCTCGTGGCCAGGCCTGTATCGCATCGTGGCCATCTGCATCCACACACTTATAGAAATCTTAAAAGGTAAATCGATTTCCCCCCCTCTGCTGAGACGGGTATAGAGACGGTCGTGCACGCGGTTTGATGTCGGGATGTGCCAATGAATGTGTTGCATCCAAGCACAGAGATGCATTGAGGGGGGGGGGGGGCCTCATTACAGGCTCCCCCTGTCGGCCACCCGGCTCGTCTGTACCACCTCGCGCATCTCATGCCCCAATTAGGCCCTCTGCCCTCCGCCTGCTCCCCGTTACTGCGTGATCTGGCGCACAGGCCGGTAATCACGGCTTCAAATAAAATAATCAGCGAAGAAGAGCGATTTTCTTAATGGGGAGGAAGAGGCGCGTGTCACGGAGGGTGCAGCGCGGGCGTGCGTCCCTGTGCCTTGGTGGTGGTGGGGGAGATTATTAAAATAGCAATGAAAAATCACAATATAGGTGTCATTAATACAGCAGCGTTCAGAAAATCAGCAAATTGAGAAAAACGTGGCATCGCCTTTGCTAGTTTACCTCACATGTTCTATATTTGGGATTATTGGTGTTAAGAGAACACGCCGGGTTACGGGTGAAGACATGCGCTTCATCAACATTGAGATCAGCACTCAATGCCAGTCAAATATAATAATATCAACGAAACATATGTTGTTTCGGGGGAAAAACATGTGCTGAGCATTTTAGAGCCAACATCAAGAAATGTTCTTTTTTTAGGTGTAGCAAGAAGTTCCTTTCAAAAGACTCAACTTTTAAACTCACCACCACTTTTCAGACTAAGGGGAAGCTCAAAGTAACCAGGAGAATCTTAGTTGCATCTACAAGTCAATGCAGAGGAGTCACGTAGCTGATTTGCCATTGATACGACTATTCAACCAAAACTCTTTAGACTTTAACGCTTGGTGAGACACCTAAATAGTGGCGTCCCTCTTCAGCAAACGCTGCCATGGAAAGTTGCAGCAAGAGAGAAACAGTGAGATTGGTGCTGATGGATGATGTGCACACAATCAAATACTAGTTATGTCAGTCCAACTAAAGGAAATGGAGATGCCAAAGACCACATTTTTATATTGGGATAATTTCCCAATTATGGCGTTGACACCCCTTAAAATGAACAAAATGCTTTCAGTGTGATCCATTTAGAATCAAACGTGTTTTCCTAAAAAAAAAAAACAGGACATCTTGGAAACACAGCAAAGCAAAATCTGTATTCTTCTGGTCTGCAATTCTGATAAAAGCTGAATTCCTCACGATCACGAGCGATGTGTGTGTTTCTTTTTATTATTTCTGCAGCAGTGTTCAGCAGCAGTGTAAAGCAGATTTGACTGTGCTCTTAGTGTTTCATTTATAATTAATTGATTGATCATTTTGTAATTGATTGTAGTCATTGTCTGACCCTGGCCGTTTAGGCCTCTTGCAGCTGCACACAGATCTAATTCCTCCTCCTCCCCGACACCTTGACTTTCCCTCCAGTTCTGCTCCAGCTATTAGAATATGTTCTTTCTTAAGTCTGGTCATTAGTTAGGTCCATTACTGTGGCTCCGTCATTAGGAAGCTGTAATGCATCATTGAAGGTAATGAGTGCCTTAGATTACAGGTGCCAGCAAGCCTCAGACACACTAAGAGAGAGAGAGCCTTTTCCCAACAAAACACACTCGTTCTCATGTTCTAACCACAAAACTGTGAGATCTTGGGCATACCGAGGCCTCGGCAAAGATCTGATGTAATATTTAATGCATTAACAAGGGAGAGATGCTTTGTGAAAGCGTAAGTAAACAAGTAAACTGCCACACCACTGCTGATTTAGTTCTCCATGGGGAGAATAATGTGCGGTTCTTCTTGTGGCAAACTGACACGCGTACGTCCCTGCACACATACCTCCTGTGCACACTCATGCTCCTAAAACACCAGATAAAAGGGGAGGACTTGGGTCAGTAAAGTCTCTGAGTGGCTTGAAATTAGAAACATGTGCTGGTAATTATCAAACTGCAGCAAAGCCACCTCGTGCAATTTAATGCCTCAGCACATTAAAGAATAAATGGGATCGGTCTCTTTGACCTTGCTCATTCCGACTTGACGAACTTGGTCTACCTGATACTTCCACTGGGTGACTCGCTCACTCTGAGACATACAGGCACACACGCACACACACACACACACACACACACACACACACACACACACACACACACACAAACGCACAAAGGCCGACACAATGTTGAGGGCGAGAACGGTGCACATCCTAAAAATGCCTGGATTGTGTGACGGTAGGGTCAAGGTAGAAGCGGCGTAATGGCTACTCATTTGGTAAATGAACAGAGAAAGCACACACACACTTGTTGTACTCCCGGTGTCGCTTTGCATCTCCCTGGTGTTCTCAGCGCGTTACTCACCCAGCCAGTTCAGCTCGTCTCTCACTTCACAAATCCCACACTTTCCCATCCATCCATTCTCTTTATCCTCCTCTCCCCTGTCTCCTCCCTCTCCCTCTCTCTCATCCCTCCCCTCCGCCATTGTGCCGCTCCTCGGCTAACCGCGGCGCACTATACCCCTCCCAAGATTAATTGATCATCAATTTGGCTCTAATTTGGACCAAGTCAGCTGGTAAATGGGGCAGTTTTTCCTGATTGTTAGTGAAATGTGTGCAAGTACATTGATACATTTTGATTATTTATCAATTACAACCAAATGAACTAAATCTATTGAATAAATTCTAGCCTGATTGCCATAATAGAGTTTGAAAATATGGCTATTGATAATGATTCCGGCTAATAGTCTTTTCCGGCCGTGGTTGCCGGCTTGTCGGAATGACAACACAAAACTCATTTTTCACAGAATCAGCTGAGTGAGTGCGAGGCCGATCTTTCATTAATCAGTCACATTACGGAGCTGATACGCTGTAATACGCGACGCTTCCCTCACAAAGACTCAAACACTTTGTCATATTTTACGTCAATTATTTCGTTGTGTTCCATCAAGACATTGTGTAATAGTTAACATATGCAAAGGTAAAGCTCCCTTGTTCCGCCCACCCGGTGCTCCATCGGAGGGTGCCTCCGCTGTGTTTGGGGGAAGACAGGGGCCCGATGATAAAATGGGCCCTCTTCTTAATTTCTTATTTTCCTGAGCTGAGGCACTTATGGGGAGGGAGGACCATTTTCTTTTCTTTTTTTTTTAAATGGACCTGCCACCATTTTTTCCCAAAGTTAATGAAAAGCAGCTTGCTGGAAAATGGGGTAGGGAAAATTGGAATTACATTCCGAGGCATTCACAAACAATAACAGGAATAACTACGCCCCATGTCAGCACAGACATTCACATTTTCACAGCCTCACACTATTAACTCAAAGTGATCTTTGATATATTTTAAATAATTTGCAAGAAAGGTGTGTGACATGATTGCTTGGCCTGAAATCGTTTTAAAACTAAAATGACAAAATGGCACTAGATGTAAACCATGTGGATATGCATGAAATATCATCCCGTACAGTTATTTGCTCTAAAACACGTCTTTTCTCTCCAGCCTCAACACTGGAAATAAAAAAAAATCAAAGAGCTAAGACTTCCTTTTTAATCAATGATATGAGCCCCTCTGCACCAATCATGGCTGCTGGAAGCAGCTTAATAATCAGCATTTAGACTGGGCAGGTAAACCGCAGCGCTATAGAGCCAACACAGGGGCCAACTGCAGGTGAATTAACCCGGTCCAGACCTAATATGCTGGTGTCAGCTCTGGTTAGTTTGTGGCTAACTGTGGCCTGTATTGGCAGTGGCACAGCATCCAACGCCGTCCCCCTCATATGCCAGCAGGCAGCTATCTATAATCGATGGCCACTTTTAATTGGACAGGCTGTCTGTTAGTGGACATCAAAGGTTGTGCGAAGGGGCGGGGGAGCAACACTGTATTTACCACGTGGTTATCAGGGGAAACGTTGGAGGTGTTTTCTGTAAAAAGCCAATCAAGGTTTCTGCTGTTGCATGACAGTTAATTATATTGGAAAATGTCACACAATGACCCTAAACAATAAATGCTGTGATAGAAATGTAACGCTATGAGTAAAAATATTTATACGTTTATTTATCAATATGTTTTCCTAATCATCCAAACTAGGCACATTATTTGCTTTGTGTAGAGCCAATATGCTCAAATTGCATCCCTGATTATTGCAAAGGAAATTCAATCATATTCACTCCGCAAACAACAAAGATGGTTTATTTATTCTACACACAAATTCTTTCCAGTGCTACAAAAACAAAGAGAACACACCATTAACACAAATGTAATTTATTCCTAATTGAAAAGATGGCCATCCAAAATCCACTCATTTAATCTCCTCTAAAAATATAGTTGTGTAAGATATGGAATCAATGCAGCTGGACAGAAAAATTGTTACCGATAATCAATAAATGAAACCCAACGCGATTAGCCTCATTTCTATGACATGGTGAGGTCAAAGAAGAGGAGAAGTGTGAATTAATTCCCTCTAAACCGGAACGACCTGCTCATGCTGGGTTGAAAGGCTTTTTATTCCGTATCCACATGATTCATTGTTCCCGAGATGAACTGAGGTATAAGGCCACACTGACCTGACTAATAGGCCTAAGTGACTTTTCCTTTATTTCCCTTCTTGATTTGGACGTCCGAGGTGCAGCCACGGGCGCGCTAAAAGACACGCACACCGATCTGCGGCTGCGTACGTTCAAAATTGTCCCGCATTATCTGAGGCACCATCCGATGAACATTGGCTGTCCTTTCTCATCTCTCCCTCCCGGTTGATGA